GAGAGGATTTGGGGTCCTGCGCAGGGACAGGCTCCAGGGTTTCGGGTTTCGGAGGTGGGGATGCGGTCTTTCCGGGGTGCCGTGGTTAGGGAGCCCGGGCTCGGAGTGTGTTGGGGGTCTGAGCTTTGGGGGATTGAGCGTTCATCTGGGCATGGAGACCGGGGGTCCTCCGGGTTAGCGGACTTGGGGTCCCTGGAGGCTGACAGAGTGGGAGCCTCTCGGGAGGACACCCCGGGTCTTCGGCTGGGTGTTGAAGGTCGGCGGCAAAGGGGTTCCCACGCGAGGCCCTGGTTTTCCCGTCCGTCTCCCGGCCGCGCTGCGCACCTGGCTGAGGTCCCCTCAAATCCGCACACTCCCGGCCGCGCGCCTCCGCCCTCAGGCGGTGTGAGGCAGGACGAGGGGGAGCTTCCCGCCTCCAGAGCACTTCAGCGCCGCCGTCAATCAGTGCTGCGGTCACGGGGCCCTGCCCGCCAATGGGCGGTCAGAAACGCGGAAAGGGCGGGGCGCCTGGTGGAGCCTTCTTGCGAGTGAAAGGCAGAATCCTGAGGAAAGAGCCCGCCCCGCGCTCCCAACCCCCTGTGGTGATTGGCTGCCCTGGGTCCTGCGAGTGTCCGTCAAGAAGCCTTCAGCCAGGGCGCAGCTGCGCGGTGTCCAGGGCTGGGATTCCCGCGGCGTCGCGGAGAGACCCGGGGGAGCCGGGAGCCCCCAGCCCGGGCAGGTGTTGGGGTGACTCGGCCTTCCTGCCGCCTGACTGAGTCTCTGTTCCACCCGATGGTATTTAGGTCCCGGACTGTCTTCCAGGCGCATGTGCTCACCTCCTTAGCGAGAGGACCAGGCGGTAGGCGGTAGGCGGGGAGTTGCGTTCTGGGAAACAGGGATTCCCTCTAGACCAGAGGTTCTCAACCTGTGGGTCGCGACCCCTTTGGGGGTCGAACGACCCTTTCACAGGGGTCGCCTAAGACCATCGGAAAAACACATATATAATTACATATTGTTTTTGTGATGAATCACTACGCTTTAATTATGTTCAGTTTGTAACAATGAAAATAAAAACAACCACAAACAAACAACAACAACAATAATTCACAGAAAACCCTACAAAATCATTTGAGGGTGTCCAGGGTGCAATTATCCCTTCCCTGGATGGACTGAAGTCACGGGTCTGGCTTTTGCACCCCTTCCTGTCCCAGCCCTGCAAAGGGAGGCCTTGGCTGCTGCAGTGACATGGGGAAGCTGTGCGTTCACTAATTCAGTCTGTAACCTAGAGGCTGCCATGATTGGAGCAGTCAGTCCTGGGGAGGCCGCCGTTAACAAGGCAGCCAGTACCACACCGGTCTCCTTTCCTGAGGCAGCCAGTAACCCGGCGGCCGCTCTGATTGGGACAGCCAGTCCCTAGATGACACCATTATGGAGGCAGCCAGTCTGTGCAGCGAGGCGCAGGGGTATCGCAAGAACGTGTTATTCCCACTAGACTCAGCGGCCTCTGTAGTCATTACTGAGGCAGCCAGTACCCTTGCGGCTGCCATCATTGATGCAATCAGTACCAGGGAGGCTGTCATTATTGATGGCACCTCCAGATGCAGGGTTATCATGGGAACGTGTTAGTACCGTGAGAAAAAAATTCAATTTAAACTTTTGTGCTGAGACCCAGTGTGTTTTTTAAAAATATATTTTTATTGATTTCAGAGATGAATGGAGAGGGAGAGAGATGGAAACGTCAATGATGAAAGACAATCATGGATCAGCTGCCTCCTGTATCCCCCCATCTCCACTGGGATCGAGCCCGCAACCCGGGTATGTGCCCTGACTGGGAATCGAACCAGAAACCCTTCAATGCACAGGCTGACACTGGCCGGGGCCACAGTGGGTTTTTTAGAAATATACATTTCTACTATTTCAGAAAGGAAGAGAGAAAGATCAGTGATGAGTGATCATCCTAGATTGGCTGCCTTCTGCCAGAAGAAAGAGTGACATTTGTTCTCATCTGCTAAGTAGAAGGAATAGGCCCTGGCCAGTGATGTTCGCTGGTTAGACCTTCGGATGCCCAGGGAAGGGTCACTGGTGGGATTCCTGGTCCAGAGCACATACCTGGGATGCAGGTTTTATGGCCAGCCCCGGTCTGGGCTCCTGTGGGAGCCAAAGATCCATGTTTCTCTTGCATATTCATGCTTGCTTTTTGTTTCTTCTCTTTCCCCTCCCTCCCTCCGTCCATCTTTCCCTCCCTCCCTCCAACTCTCTTTGTAAAACACATATCCACTGGTAAGAATTAACAAAACATACACAAGAAAAAAGTACAAAGAAGGAAAAGATTTGGAGGGTGTGAAAAAGCAGCATACCCCTAAAGAAAGGCACCATGATGAGCAGAGCATTCAGCTCCACTGATGTTTTTCCACGCGATGTGTCTATAAGATAAAAATAAAATGTCTGAGTGTCCCTCAGCTGGCAAGGTCCTGACACAATACGATGAGGCCATTCTAGCGCGGTCCTTGCAGGGTCTCCCAAGCAACCACATTAGGGGCTAGGCTCTCAGGGGCGAGGCCGGGAGTAGCAGGGGAAAGCAAGGCGTGAGGAGGCAGGGAATGGACAGAGGAGGGTCCTGCACATGCTCCCCTCTACTGCGTTGTGTTGCTGCTCCCAGAGTCCCCCCCACTGAGAAGATCGGAGCAGACTCACCCGGTGTTGGTGACCAAGGGACACACAGACTGAGGGACACATAGACCGAGGGACAGACAGATAATCGAGGCCGCAGTGGCCTGGAGAGGTGACATCCGGAAACCTGTGGCCACTGTGCTGGTTCCTTTTATCGTCCTGGAGGTACCTTCTCAGAGGTTTTTGATGCCAGAACCCTGGATTCCATTTCTACAGACAGCACCTACTCTGCCCAAGACTCAAGACATCTCTGGACATCCATTCACACACCAGTTGTTTGGAAAGTGATCTCAAACTTATTCTATATAGTTATTGTATGCATGAAAACTAAATCAGAGCCAAGCAGTTACCTGTGTGATGTGTTCTACATTTGTATTACACATACATTTTATGTTAGAAAATGACATTTGTTGTACAAAGTTGCCTTCCTAAGTGTAATTAAGTGAGCATCTTAAAAACTTTGTAAGGGTGA